GGAAAGGGCTATTGGCGAACTCCTATTTCAGCCGGACATCTACATCGAGGTACCCTTTTTAACAACTCTGCTACCGATGGTATATGCCCGTGAGGAGGCGCCCAGCTGCTCCGCCCCCGCTCCACGTACTACAGCCGCGCCCCTGCGCGCGGGCCGGCCCGCACGCTGCGCTGAAGGCGCGAGACGCGAGCCGTAGGGAGAGCAGGACCGGCGGGTACGAAGCACTCGTCTCACAGGGCCGGCCCTGTGATCCTGAAGGGAAAGGACGAGCGCCACGTCGCAGCAAGGGCGGCCCGACAGCCAGCTCATCGACAGCAGGTAAGGACTAGCCGCGAAGTTAGACATCCATAGAAATACTCGTTGACAATAAGCCCTACTTTACCCGGGCCCCGACCGGACGCCAGCGGCGGAACCTGAGCAAACAAACGAACAGGAAATTAATGCACGCGTCAAACGAAAGAATGCGTTTTCACGTCGGGTGATGAACACGAGAACACCTACCGTGTCGGGCCGCTACCGCCCCCTGCTCTGCTGCGACCCGCCGACGCAGAGTTTTTGTCCCGCTGCTCGGGCTGGTTGCACGGCGTCGCCGGCAAGGGGTTGCAACTGAATGAACTGGGCCTACAGAGCGTCGTGTACTGGACGGAGAGCACCCACTTCCAGCTAACGTCGCGAAGGCTGGTCGCGCCGGCCTCCGCGTGGACTGCACCATCGGCGTCGACTGCCCCTCTTCCACGCCTCCTGGCGCCAGCGGCAAACCTCCTGCAAATGGAAACAAACAAATCATTAACGTACGGCCAAATGAATGCATTCTGATGTCGGATAGTAAACAGGGAAGAGCCTCAAACACCTACCTGCGTGCTCGCCGATGCTCGGGCTGGTGGGTACCGTCCGCCCTTATAGGGGAGGGGTGGGGGGTGTCGTCGCTAATGTTTCTGCCTCCTCTTGGCCCGCACCTGCAACTTAGAGACTTTGAGCGTCGAGCCGAACATGGTCAAGTAACACGATAGTAAGCGCAAAGGGCACGCAAGGCCCGGGCTTGGCAGCGCTGCATCGCGCCGGACACGTCGCCTCGAGGAGTCCTTTTCAAAAACTTAAACCGCGATGGTATTTGCCCGATGGGGCGCGCCCGCCGCCCTGAGGGCCCACCTCGCCACTCACAGCTCGTCCTAGGCGTGAGGCCCGGGCCCCATGCCACGCTGAAGGCGATTCAGACGGAAGCTGTAGTGACAGCCAGGCAGGTACGTGAGCATTGTCCGGGGGGCGTCCTGAAGGGACAGACAAGCCACGTAACAGCAGGCAACGCCCCACAGCCAGCTCACCACAGAAAGTAAGAACAGCCACAAGGTTCCACATCCGGAGAAATGACTGCTCTACCAAAGCCCTTCACCTGGACAGAGGAATCGGAGCAGCAGTGGTCAGTTGGTGGTCAGCCTGCGCACACAGAAACAAACGTATTAAAGCATGTGTCAAGCAAGGCCCTTTTGATGTATCGCTTCTTCACTCTGGAGCGTCATTCACAATTCCCGGCAAATGTTCTTTCATAACGTACAGAATAAAGTTTCTGTAAATAATGTAGCAAGACAAAAGGACGGAAAATGATTTGACAGGTACAAAACAGTATCATCAACACTATTACACTGCATCACCAAAATTTACAGACTACGACTTATTCTGAGGAGTTAGCGTGATTGGCGTGATGTAACAAAGTTGCATGGTAGCACAAGAAACATTCAACGACCCAAACGATATTGAAAATAAACTATGTAGAAGGAATGGTAAAATATAGCTATAAAAGCATAAGGAAAATGAGCCGATTGACTCAAAGCACGATAGAGGCTGCATGACTAATTAATGGCACGACCAAACAAAAGTACACAATAACAGCACTCTTTCGGCAGGACATGAAATTGGAAAACTAATATAGAAGTTAAACATACAGAGGGCAGTATAGTTGCACGGTAGCAAATCATATCCCAACAGCTACCAGGTTGATTGCAAATCACAACATGGTATGTATGTAACAGGTATGTATGGGCCACAACAATTGCAGTTAACTGCAGGACTTCAACAACTTCAGCAACGGTTATGACTAGCCTAAAAGCCAAGCGTAGAGAACACAGCCCAAAGGCACTAACTAGAATATGGCTCACCGTGTCCTCCGCTGGTGACCCCGGAAAGACAATGACAGATTGAATGAGTTGATGCATTCACACCATTCACACGTGATCGAGGCAGGTTATGACAAAGAGAAACACAATGTCCGCAGCAGCACCAGGATCACACAACTTACTTCCGCTCACCGTAGATTTGATGACTCCTGCCTGCCCCCTTACCGACTGACACACGCTGACACAGTCAGCAACTCCAATAAATTTTAAAAAGTAAGTAACGGTTGGGTCGCTCTCGTGCCTTTTAAAGCATTTCTTCTTTGCTTCTTCTTTCTAATTTCTCGTGCTCTCTGGCTGTGAGTGTTCTCTACACTGCTGCCAACCTTTTACTGATGTCGCCAAAACGTTATTTGACAAAGGTTACGAATGATCTCTTGGATCCATTTATTTGTTTATTTTATGATAAACGTATCACAGCTAGTGTAGGTTTGCATTTTGGACGTGAACCGTTTTCTTGTCGTAATCGCCGCAGCACAGCGCCTGCGAGGTCGGGGATAGGCCACCCGAGCGCGCGTCTGCTGAGCGGGTGGCCCATGCCGCGGCTCGCTAGGCGCCCAGCCGGAGAGCCATACGAAAGATGTGTGGTTAAGTCCGTTAACTGTCTCGTTTTTCTGATGGTGCAAAATCTGACGCATGTACCGCGGTACATGACATGCCCTGTGTTAGCGACTAGTGCGGGGCGGACTCCTCCTGTTGCGGTATCTCAGCAGCCGCAGTGTGGGGTGCGGAGTCCTCGTCCGAATCCGGCAGTCCTTTCGATAGCGTCCCTCCCGTTTGTCCACTTTGCATTGCGTTGGGCGACAACGGCTCGCCGTCGATATGACAAGGAGGCAAATGTACCGTGAGTCGGGGTGTGGCTGTCAGCGCGGGAGCGACTCGGGGGCGGGGGCGTCGCGTCGGGGGGCGTCCGCCGGGACGCTGCCAAGTCGTGCGTCACCACCCCCGTGTCCGCGGCCAAGTGGGGCGGCCGCCCGGACGGCCCGGGCGGGCGCGGGCCTCGCGGAGTGCGAAAGAGACAGTCGACGCGGGGGGTCCCGCCGCCGCCGTGCCTCTCGAGTGGATGGGAATATGTCCCCGTCAGCGAGCCCCGCGCGGGTTTGCCATCGCTTCGCCATCACCACCACCGTGATGCCGATCCCCTGCCAGGCGGCCGATGAGGTGCCCCCGCCCGGTCCCACACCACCATCCTCCCCTTCGCGGTCGAGCCTCTCCACATTTGTCTCCCGGACGTCCGATGTCCTCTTATATTCGCTTCCTGGCGGCGCGGCGCCTTCCACGACCGACCGCGTCCATCTGAATATTCGGGTGGACGCCGTCCCCGCCCCCTCCCCCCGCGTCCCCGTCGTGCTGACGTTCCAGTCGCTTACGCCCGGGGGTCACTCCGTCACGGGTTTCGAGCTCCGCGTCGGGCGATGTTCTATTTGGTTCTCTCCGTCCCGCCTCATCTCGTTTCTCGCCCCGCCCGCCTCCGCCCCGGCCGGGAGGTCCGTCCCGTCTCCCAAATCGAGTTTATGTCTCGACCGATATCACGGCAACTTTGTCCACGGCCAGACTTGCGCGGCCGGCGGGGCGCCGCCGTGGGGCCGGGAGGAGGAGAGGGGGGGGGGTGGAAGTGGGTCATGGGTCACGGGCGGAGAGAAGAAGAGGAGGAGGCAGTCATCATCACCTTTATCAACAGCAGCAACGCAATAAAGAGAGGCTCTGCTGCTGCCGGGTCTTCACGATGGCGCTCAGCGCCGGCGGAGCACGCCAAGCCCTAAAGCTGCCCACATGCATTTTTTGTTCATCTGCCCCTGCTTGATTTTTAATCCGATCGCACACCACGTTCCGCTGCGGCCCCTTTATGCCCACCCGTAGCGCATCAATGTTGGAGGGGAGGGGGACGACGGGGGTGCAGTCGCGCTGCTGCTGTCCGCCTCGGTGACCCCCGCGACCGCGGCCGGCTGGGTCTCGAGCTCCAAGCACGGCGTCGTAGACTGTGAGGATCGCGGAGGACTATTCATCTCCATTAAAAGGAAGAGACGGTGGCCACAGGCGGGCAGCCGCGGGGGCTCTGGCGAAAGTGATGTTAAAATGATAACGCGCGTAAGTAAATCGCAGCCAACTAGGCGCGCCGGGGAGAGGGAGCAAGAGAGCGAGAGAGAAGGGCCGCGGGGCGGATCGTTAATTTCAATGAAGGGAGAGAGAGAGAGAGGGGGAGGGGGGAGAGAGAGAGAGGGAGAGAGGAGTGGCGGCCCTGGCGGCGGGGGCGGTGGCGAGCGGCGCATAGGCAAGATGGCGGCGCGGTCGGGTTGGCAGCCCGTGAAGTGAGAGGGCAGAGAGGGGGCCCGGCCCGTGCGCAGCACTGCGCAGCCACCGAGGGGCAATGAATTGAGAAATTCTTGAGCGACTATTACTCTCAGTTTCATTGCGGGGCTCTCTGTTTCAATTGCTCCCTCCTTCCGCCACGCCGCGGAGGAAAGTGCCGCCGCCGCGGTATCGCGTGTCTTCGTTTATGAGAAAGGAATGTAGTAGTGAGGGCTACTTTAAAGAAAGGTGTGTGTGATGTAGTAAGATGACCAATCTATTTCCGATAGAAGAATTATTACAGTACATTTTTTGCAACATTCGGCCGTATGATGAACAATGGAATATGGAGAGGTTCTTATTTGCCTTGAACCTCGGCCGGCTAGGCTACATTAGCATGACAACAGTTTCTGTAGGTACGATGCAGTGCCAACGGTTCGCAAATATCAACCAGCATCAGTTTTCGATAATAGTACTTGTATCACAAAACAAAAGAAAACTTAACAGACGTAATTACCTTAATAAACAATATTAATATCACACTAAACAGCAACAGAACAATAAAGCTGTACACTCACATGGGACAAAATGGAGCGACAAGTGTGTCTCTGTTTCGTCACCACGCGTTGCCACTTTACAGTGAGTATTGTCTCGGGACGATCACCTGATGGAAACCACGACACACACCACACCACACAACTTCACCGGGTTTACTACCGCTCGTTTCCGAGCGAGATGTCGCGTTTCCGCCTGCTTCTCGCGGGAGTGTTGCCTACACGGCCTTCTCCCGTCCGAGGCCGAGCGCCTCGGCGTGCTTCTTGGCCTTGAGGCGGAGGTCGGCGATGCTCGAGTTCTTGGACTGCAGCCTGTCCTGGTGAACGGCGGCCAGGGCGGCGAGGCCGTTGGCCAGCCCCAGCGGGTACTGGTAGAGGCCGCCCGGACCGGAGCCCAGCGCGGCGGCCGCGGCCGCGTACTGCAACAAGGAAGAGCACGACGGCGACGTCAGCGATGCGGGCCGAGGCCAGAGGGCAGCGCGCGGCACGTGACTCGGCACTCACCTGGTGCGCGAGCAGCGCGGGGTCGAAGGCCGAGAAGGGCGGGAAGGACAGTCTCTCGTAGGCCGCGGATGCGGCGGAGGCCGCCGCGGCCGCCGACGCGGCCGCCGAGACCGCCGCCGACGACGTGGAGTTGGTCGTCGTGAGGCGGAGGCCGGGCAGCGCGGGCAGGCTGGGCAGGTAGGGCGCCACGCGGCACGTCTCCAGGGGCGCCGTCGCGGCGGCCGAGTGCGGCGGGTGCGCGCCGTGCGGGTGCGGGGGCGTGTGCGGGTGCGTCGGCGTGCCCAGCATCATGCCCCCCAGCGCGCCTGGCGGGCGGAAGGAGAGACAAGGTCAGTGGGGTTGTGATGGACAACGCGAGGCTGACCCAGCCCAGCCGGGCGCAGCGCAGCACCCCCGGACGGATCCTCACTCAGACAGACTGGCTGCTAAATGATGGGCTCCCAGTGCTCGGGTACGGAGGAAACACGTACCCGCCCAGCAGAAGAAAACATCAGCGAGACCACCGGCAACACCCTTACTGTGCGAATCCGCTCCCCCACCACCCCACCCCTCCCCACTCCATCACAC